CACAACGAACTGGACGCTCGATTGGCAAGAGCCATATTCGTCCTGTGCAACTGAACTGAGACGAGCATTTTCTTTTCCCTTTCAGCAAGGACGCCGTACGGAAGGCAATTCGCAGTGGTGGGTGCACACCTTGTGGGCATACTGCCGAAAGAAATCTGGACGCTCGATTGGCCGTGGCCATTATCAGTCCTGTGCAACCTGACCTGACCTGAACTGAACTACGTCCTGTGATTTGAATTTGTTTTGAATTTGGACTGTTAACCACAATAAGGACTCCATCCATAATTTTTATTTCCGCTTGGCTCATCTGTTGGAGTTTTGTGTGATCCCTGGGTCGTATTGTTCCATTAGATGAGAATGAAACATTCTGTTGGTTTTCCCGCGTAAAAAAACAATGAACATTTCCGCCGGCGATTCGAAGGGGCCCTACGGAAGCGGTTTAATTTAAGTGAGGTTTTCTTCAATCCACTCTAAGGATTTCTTCATTACTATCCCTCGTAGAAGAGGTCAAAAACTAACAATGAAAAGGTGTAGGTTAGGTGTGCAATATAATTGTTGACTGTGTTACGTACACCACTTAGCTTGATATTACTACCAATTTGTAATAAAATTAATGAAGTTGATTTCGGGTAACAAACCGAGTTTATGGTGCCGAAAGCGCTGTCAGAGTGCTGCGACCAAAACCTCTGTAGACGCACGTTACCCGCCGGCGGGGTGTCGAATCAACTGGTAAAAGCGGCTCAACACAGACTCAATACACAGGTTGGAGATACTTCGGAACCACAGATTCTCCGTGTAAGGGGAATTTGCAAATGACGTGCAAGACAGGGAGAATACAAAACAGCAATGAACCAAAAGGTCCAGGGAGACATGCATATAACTCACACTCAAACGAAGAAAATACAGAGGCATTTTTCGGGATTCAGATTAAAGCCGGATAAAGTGGATTGCGTAATGAGATGAAATAATTCTGTTATACACAGCCATTTCTGATTAGTAAAATGCGGACACAGATGGCAATATCATCAGCATACTTAAAATGTCGTAC